AATTTAAACCGTGTGGCTGTCCTGTGTTCTGTTTGCAAGTCCGCCTTCTGATCCATGCACAGGTTCCCCATAAACACAGCCAACTGTTAGGGAATCCCATTCCCCTCGAGACTACCCGTAGCTCGTTACAATCCACACAGTCAAACGCATCGGCATAGTCCACAAAATACAAGTAAACATTTTCCTAGCAAACCCCACTTTCAGCCAGGAGCCATGTGACGTCAGCAATGATAGTCCTTCTTCCACTCCTTCTTCTGAATGCAGCCCGAACCTCAGGCAACCTTCAACAAAATTTCACTTGTGATACCAATGATGTCATTCTATAGTTTGAGCATGCTGTTGTATCACCTTTCTTTGGGTGGGTACAAATATGGATTCCTTGCAGTCAGTTGGCCAAGGAGCTGTCTTCCAAATTCCCTGGTGTAGACAAGGGAATGCTTCCAGTGCTTCTTCAGCTTGGTGAAGGGTTGCAATTGGTATTCCACCAATTCACGGAGCCTTGTTTTGGGCTATAGCTTTTGGTGCAGGTTGATTTTCTTCCTTCAGTCCCATTGATTCTTGCTCATTTGCCACCTTATAAAAGTGTGGCATGTGGACTAGTTAGTTTGGCACAATGACTCTATCCTGTCTATCCTCTTCTGATGCTTCCTGCACCATGCAATATTTTGCCCATAGAACCTTTCTAGATTGCAATTTGAGGCTTGAATTTTTTTTAGCTCTTTCAGTTTAAGATGCTCTGGGTGGGTTCTTCCCTTTTGTTTTCCAAGTCTAGGTCTTTGCACACTTCATTATTTTACTTTGTCTTCTCAAGCCGCCCCTTGCCTTCATCCTTTCTTCCATTGCCTTAACTACTCGATGGTGAAGAGCACGTTTCAGAGTCTCTTCTGACGTCCGCTTTGATCTTGTCTTTCTTTCTTGTCTCTTTAACGAGTCACTTGGCTGTTTTCATGGGTCCTAGTGTGATGTCCTCCCACAGCTCATTGGCTCTTCTGTCCTCAGTGTCCAAAGCATCAACTATGTTCTTTAGATGTTCTCAAAATTCAAGCGGGATAGACTCAAGGTCGAATTTGAGTTTTCCCTGGCTTGTTGTAATATTTTTCAGCTTCAACCTAAACTTGCATAGAAGCAATTGAGGGTCTGCTCCACAGGCAACTGTATCCTAATGCTAATGGCCAATCCAGAGCCTCTCCACCGTCTCTTCCCACAGATGGAGCTAACTTGATATCTGTGTGAGTATGTGAATATTGTTTGTGAGTTCTATGTAGCCATTAGAGTGAGTCATTGAATCCACACTAGAAATAGGGGGTTTTTTTGTTTCGTTTTGTGGGGGATGGTTAGTGACAGAGTCGTCAAGGAAGCTGGCACACAGAGGCATGGCTGACCTCTCCCTTCCTCTGTGCAACAGAGAACCCAGCGGAGGCAGACACAGCCCTGCTCTGTCTGCTGCACAGCTCACTGCCTTCAAGATGATTCTGAGACCCTATCAGTCCCGTACGACAAAGCCAATGACCCTATCAGTCCCTGTACGACAAAGCCAATGGCCCCTTTGGGTCTCCCAGGCTGCGAACCTTGATGGGAGAAACGAGGCTCATCTTTCTCCTAGTCCAACATATAAAGACCCCTGTCTCACAAAGAGGAAGACCCTCAAGGAGATGGGCTGACACGGGGGCTGCGACAATGGGCTCAAACCTAACAGCCAATGTGAGCCTGGCCCCAGACCACGTGGTGTTTCCTTCTGATGCATAAGGTCGACAGGTGTTGGACTAGGAGCCCGGTGTCATTGTCAAATAGGAATCCAACTGCTAGTCCACTGCAAGGTCAGCCATTGGACTTCTGTGGCCAGTCCGAGGGAGAAAGTTGAGGCAGTTTGCTCCCCCAGAAAGCTGTAGTCTGACACCCCTGAGCAGTTCGGCCCTGTCCTGCAGAGGCACTCTGAGTTGGAAGCAGCTAGAAGAGAGTGGGGGCTGTGGAGGGAGTGGGGCCTCCTTGGAATCCATAAAGGAGGGGGTCTCCAAGTCTCTGGCAGAGTTGTTTTCCTAGTGCTCACCTTTCAGCTCACAGTGGACAATGCCCCGTCCTCCCCAGGGCTCCTGACCTTACACAGACAGTGCACAGACTGTGAGCATCCACAGGACACCAGTACAGACTCTATCTCAGTTAGTCAATGATTCCTCCCTCGGCCCAAATCAGCGGTTCCCAGGCCACCAGCAGCCTCAGGGGACCACAGTACTCTCCACAGATTGCATGTAAAACAGAACAGTAAAAGTATGATCATGTTGACGGTTCCTAAGTGGTGCGGAATCTCTCATCTGCAGGAGCTGGGGTCAGGCACTGTCCGGGGAGCTCTGACTCAGCGACTCATGTCACATGGGAAGTGCGGCTCTCCCAGCGTTAGGCTGCAGCCCTGGTGTCAATCCATGTTGACGAGGGTCTCCCTCTTCTTCTCGGCCCCTTGATTTACCAAGCATGACGACCTTCCCCAGGGACATGGACAAAGTCAGAGAAACCTTGAAGTGTCACCACCCTGCCTTCTAAGGAGCATGCTGCAAAGTCGCGGGTGCAAACTCTGAGCACCTCAGCATGAGCTGTTTAGGGTGGAGACGAAGGGAGTGGCTTCCTGTGGTCGTCCTCCTTTTCACCCCACACTCGTCATTACGATCATTCAGGAGCCTCCCCTTAGCAGTCCGGAGCCCAAAGGGGCACCCAAGGCAGGAAGCCTTTCTTGCTCAAGTGGACACTGACTCACAGGACCCCTGTCCCTGCACAGACCTGTCCCTGCACAGGCCTGTCCCTGAGCAGACCTGTCCCTGCGCAGACCTGTCCCTGTGCAGACCTGTCCCT